CAACGTTGCTAACCTAAGTATCCCTAGAATCAATGATAACTTTTCTTCTTAGATGCGTCAATACCGAAAAAATACTAAAATATGAAAATTTAATGGATTTTGTTGTTTTTCAAGTGGTTAAGCGTAACCATTCGGATATCGGAGCATTTTACAAAAGAACTTTTAGAACAAGAGTTTTGGCAAATTTTATTCTTAATAATATTGCTCTCTGACACGTTTGCTCGTAGATGCGTTAATATCGAGCAAAATAACAAAATATGAGAATTTGTTGCTTTTTTAAGTTATTAAGGGTAATGCTCGAAAATCGGAGTATTTTACAAAAGAAATTTTAGAACAAAAGCTGTGGTAAATTTTATTCTTAACAATATTGCACTCTTGTAGTTTTCCTCTTAGATGCGTCAACATCGAGTAAAATACGAAAAAATGAGAATTTGACGAATTTCTTACTTTTTTAAGTTATTAATGGTAACACTCGGGAATCGGAGCATGTTACAAAAAAACTTTTAGAATAAAAGTTATAGCAAATTTTATTCTTAGCAAAATGCTACTTTACATTGCTCTCAGATGTAAAGATATCGAGAAAAATATGAAAATACGATGTGATGCAGTATCTTTTATTGAATCGTGTATCAGAATATCGGTAGATTATCTTCTATATCGGTGATTATCTTCTATACCGATGAATCGGTAGAGTTGACAACGCTGTAGCAGATGCACTGTCACGATTACATGTTGACTCCCTTGAAATTTCATATCGAAATATTTGAAGTATCAAAAAAGCTCAAGATATTGACTTAAAACTTAATTTTCTTTAAAAAAACAATTTACAAGCAACTGTAAAAGATAAATTTCAAACTTAAAACAAAAAGTTTGGTGTGAAAATTCAATATCAACATCGCGTATATACAAAATTTAATTAACCCAAAATTGTTCTGGCCCAAAATGAATAAAAAGTACTTTTAGATGGACCAGATGTTGTATTAACTGCCAAAGAACTAAAATATACAGACATACGAAATCTCCTTTAGGTAAATTTAATATCCCCGCTGGCAGTTTTGAACACATTCATACTGATATTGTTGGTCCTCTACCACCTTCTTGCGGTTACATTTATATTTTAACAGTTATTGACCGTTTTACAAAGTGGCCTGAAGCCTATCCCCTTAAAGAGACTTCGGCTTCTACAATTGCTGACATTCTTCTTCCTAATTATTTTTCAAGATTTGGAGTACCACATACCATTACCCACAATAGATAATTTGAACAAATTAATTAGATCACCATAAATCCATACATTTTCTTATCATCCTCAAAGTAATGGGATTTTAGAAAGATTTCATAGAACTCTAAAAGCCGCCATCATTTCTAAAGGTACCAATAGTAGTAGGAAGAATGATCTTCCATTGATTCTATTAGGTATCAGATCCTCCCTTAAAGAGGATTTAGGATGCTCGTTTGCCGAACTTGTTTATGAGTAACCCCTAGGTCTACCAGATGAATTCTGCATCATTTCTCATAATACGGCTAACGTAAATCCATTACTTATTTCACTAAGAAAATCTTTTTCAAAATTAAAACCTACTCCAACATCCTCACATACCTCTACCAAAATTTTCGTTCATAAAAATCTGTATGAACCAGATTACGTATTTATTCGACTAGTAGGTATTAAAGTCAACTATAGCTCCTATAGCAACTATAGTTCCCCAAAACTTTCACCATTTTAAAATATAATCTGCGACATTGTATTCATATCGACCGATTGAAACCAACATTCATTTTAAACAACAATAAATCTTCAAATATTGAATCATTCATTAAAAAGAAAAAAATATTTAATTTTAACGAATAATTAATAATTGATTAATAACGATTTATTTTTCAGTTATAAAATTTAATTAATAGTTTTCAACTTTCCAATTTGGGCCGGGGAATACAACTTACGAGTTCATGGTGTCAACACATGAGCTAACATGGTCTGCTTTTTTAGTGATATTTAGTGGAATAATTAGATTGATTATTTCAAAAGTGGAATAATTGATAACATCCGTTAGATTTTTGTCCCATCACTTGGTATTGTAGAAGACACGTCTTTGCTGGGTTCTCATGGAAATAATACTAAAGTAGACGCAAGCAATATATTAGAGAAGTTAAATTATCAGGCCATATGCATTACAATAATTTGGTATAAATAGCAATGTATGCAATGTACTTTTAGATATTAACAGAGTAAATCTTCTACTACAAAGCCCAAAGTGTACGATTCGTGCAGCAGTTGAAACAATTGACCAGCTTGCAAATAATCTAAAAGAACTAAGAAGTGATGAAGAGTATCAAAAATTGCTAGTTATAGCGTCTGAACTTCAAATTCTGGAAATTCAATAAACGTACAATCAAACTTTACAGAAATCAGAACGCATTTTCAACAATGAAACTTTTGACAACCCAATACAAGATCCGTCACAAAAATTTAAAGTTGATGTATATTTTAATTTACTTAAAATAGCGATTCATTCAATTCGGATTATTCAACATACATTCGGATTTTTACACAATCTTGCCGACCTAAGAAATTGGGAAAAAAGGACGTCATAAAGCAAAGTATGAATTTGAAGATTACTCTTACACATAACAATAGAAAATACATCAACGGCATTTAGCTGACGGAACAGTTGAGTATTATTTAAAATCTTTTAAACCCAGGTGATACATGTATAGCTACCTTAAAAATTTTGTTTTTGAATACCTTTTTGGAACAATAAAAGCAGCTAATTATTTTTACATTTCATATTTCTTATAAAATACATCCAAAAATGATTAAAACCAAGTTAATTCGATTTTCATTTAACCTCCTAGACTCTAACGAGTTTAAAGGGAGAACGATTCATTAATATTATAATGAATATTTCATGTTAACTATTCAACGCAGAAGACAAATAAGGCGCGGTTGATAAATTTTTAATATTTAAGTCATATGCATTGTTTTATGTTAAATTTTCCGATCAATTTCATCTTTTTAATTCTGTAGCGGTCAAAATGTCGAAAGGTGTCGGTTTCTACCTCCTCGGAAGATATTTGCGGAAATGTCACGCTTGGCCCACCTCGCATGGATTTCGAGGATATGGAGCAACAATTTTGATTGCTATAACTATGATTTGGGGTATTCATCCTTTATTGGCAGAAATTATAAGTGAGTTTTAGAGAATAATGTAGATGTGTCGATGACGTTAATTTAATCATTTTAGATTATAAAACGAACTTTAGCAAGTAATTATATTTGCTAGCATTCAATTATTACGAAAAACACCTCAGTTGTTTGAACAGATTAATTTATTAGGCGATTTTAAGCCATTTGGTATCCCCGAAACAATAAGTTTTATTCATAAATATATGAATACTGTATTAAAAGCAATTCGTTATGGGGGATTTCTTATGGGATATGTTATAGTATGCTATACTATGTTGCAAAATGATTGTGACGTTGATGTGAACACTAAAGTTTGCTTGATAATCGAATATTACATACCTTTTAATTTGAAACCCTGGCAAATAACATTAATAGTGTTGTTTCAAATATATGTTATTGGCGTTGTAATTAACGTTCTACTATTATCAATACTATTCTACACCTACTCGTTGGAATTATTAATCGTACGAATAGAACAACTTGATAATATGATTGATAATATACATTTAACCAGAAATAAAAAAAGAAATTTTAAAATTCTAAGGCCTATTGTTTTGTATCATCAAGATATATACTGGTATTGTAATCTCGATCTCGATGTTTAGTTTATAAATTTTTCGTCATCAGTTGTTGTAATTTTAGGATGTTTACGTGTATTTATAGTTTCTTTAACACCTTTCTTGCACCAACAAAAGTATGCATTTTACTTTGTTTAACAATGTCTATTACTGAATTCGTGCTGGTTTGAGTTTTGATGTAATGAAAAAAATTTAATTATCTAATATTGTCATATTTTTTAGAAAAGCAATTTCATAAGTTTAAATGTTATTACTATGAATTGCACGGCGTTATTTTTAGTTCACACAATTGGACAAAGAGTTACCACAGCGGTATGAATTAATTTTTTGTATTATTAATTAATCAACTATAATTAGAGATATGTTTTTATAGGCGGGTAATATTGCCGAAGCTGTTTATAATTTAAATTGGTTCGAAGCTGATGTTTCAACACGAAAAAATATCTTAATATTACTGTGTATGAGCCAAAAACCACTTGTTCTAGGGGCCCCTTTGTTCGGCCCATACTCTCATACCGCAGCAGTTAAGGTAATTATTTATACTTATAAAATTTAATGATTTAAATATAATTAATGAGGTGAATCATTTTTTAAGGAATACAAGATGGCTTATGTTTTTTACAACTGGATTTTCACATTTGTGCAAAAAATAATGACTTAAAATTTATTTGTAGGTATAAATTATATTAACTATAAATGTTAAAACAATTTTTATACTTTTCAACTATAAATAATAGTAAAGAAACGTTTATTAAATTACACACCTGGATATAGGGTCAATATGTATCACTTTTAACGTTACCAAAGTTTAAAAATTTTCTATAAATGAACCTTATACAATTTATGCAACTATATACAACTATATAAACGGCTGGTCGCCGTTTATAGTTGCAACTTAATGGTTTTGAAATACCAATATTGTAAACTATTTCAAAAAGAAATGGTCCCTTATTAATTCTGTATTGTAAACTGATAGTTAAAATAAATTAAATAGAACAAGTGTGTAATTTTATTTTCCAGTATCCTAAATTATCATATTATTAACGTATATAACCGCTGAAGTAAAAGTATGAAATTTTGAAATATATTTTAAACAACATTTTGATTAAAATGGAGGGAATGGTTAAAAACTTCTTTAACTTGCTTAAAATTTTTTATTTAATATAAAGTCGTCTCGATTTCGGGAAACACTCCCATCATCAGCGAAAAGCTGTATACAAAAACAAAAATGAATGTAAATTTGAATCACAATTACTTAAATTAATTGAAAAACAATAATATAAAAATAATATAAAAAGGGGGGAATATACGTTTCATACAAAATAAAAATAATAACTTACTGTCAATAAGGGTAATCATGAGAAACAGGAACATCCATAATTACATAATAAACTATTGAAGGAAAAAATGCACGAAAATCACACGAGAAACAAACATGTGCGGGAAGTGGAGTTATTCAGAGTACAACATGTGGTATTGGGAACAGAAAGGAAAAGCCGAAAAAAGAAGAAAAGGACAAAGAAAAAGAACTCGAAAACCAAAGAGAAAAGTCGCAAAAGAAAAAGATAATAACACGCAAGTCGTGAAAAATAAAACAACAGATAACAAAATGCCAAAATCAAAAATCAATTATCTGCATCTAAATACATAAAGAGTGGCTTGTAATTATTACTAACTTGATCGTTTAAGATGCAAAAATTATTTATTTTTACTGTGTTTATTAATTTCAAAAAGCTCCAGAAAATAACCCTTAAAACATTCATGAAGTAATGAAATGTTTTCATAATCTATGCTATGACCCATCTCGATATGATGTTTATATAAATTAGATTGAGTTCTTCCTTTATGTTCAATAATTCTGTTTCCTATACGACGTCCTGTTTGTCCAACATAAATACCGTTACAGTTAGAACATCCAACCGAGTAAACGGCATTTTTACGAAGTATATTCCCATTTTTAGGGTGGTAATTAGATAAATGTTTAAGAATAGAAAAATTGTTAGAAAAAGCTAATTTAATTTTATATTTATCAAAAATGTTTCTAGCCTACCAAAGATATTTTATTGTATGAAATGGGTTTGTAAACATGATCATCATTCTTTCTAACATACATTTTCCCGAAATCGATCTTTATATTAAATAAAAAATTTTAAGCAAGTTAAAGAAGTTTTTAACCACTTCCTCCATTTTACAAAATATACTTGCAACGTGGATTTCAGTTTCAATACTAATGTTAACACTTCGACATTAATCCATGGATATAGAAGGCTGTATACAAGGACTGGAATCATCAATAATCATACCTTTTTTATTAATCAATGTATAAAAGAAAATCTAATTCCAAATTTTGCAAAGGTGAGATGTAGGAGAATCAATGATGAAAGGAAGCTTGATTTAGTTAAAAGAATTTTACGGGAAGAAAAAATACAACACTATAAGAAGCTTAACACCACCTACGAATAATTAGCACATTCTTACCGTTTAGTCAGTGAAGTTTTTCACTTCTTACAACTTGAACAAATTATCATTAAATTAAGGGAGGAGGCGGAAATTGTGAGGGAGGACGATTTGAGGAGGAAGAGGAGCTAATCTAACTAAATATAAAGTTAATAAAGATATACAGAGGAATAAAAATAGAATTAATATTCAGGAAGATAATATATTCCAATTCACAAATTTAACTAACATCTCTTTTAGTAAAGATGAAATGGCTTTCCTTAACTAAGGATATATATTTGCATTAATTAAGGAACCTAATTTGTACGAAACTGCCATAGATTTCGATGTTATTATTAAGCAACATAGTCAGGCTAACGAAATTAAAAGTCACCTTATTTCTTTTCTTAAAAAGACAAAAAAATTTAAATACAAAAAACATTACAATGAAGCCAATGCTAATCATTGGAAAATCATTAAAAACAAAACAAAAGCTCACTGAAGGTGATGCAATTTTTGTGAGGGCCGATAAAGGTGTTGGTACCGTTATTATTGATCGTAAAGTTTATCTAGACAAAACATATTCATTTATGGCTTCCAATAATTACAATAAACTAAGATCCGATCCTACGGATAAGATTATTAAACAAACTAGAGAACTTATAAACAAATGTAAAGAATCTTTAATCGAGTTCACACCAAAATTTAAAAATTTTAAAAACTCGATATTTTTTAACAGTTCATTTTTTAAGCTACATAAGATCGATATGCCTATTCGACCCATAACAAGCTTTAATTCTTCACCTACTTCTAAACTGGTTGATTTTTTGTTTAACATTTTCAAGATTATCGATTTCGAAGCTAAATTTTCGGTAACTAATTCCTTACAATTTATTGAAGGAACTAAAAATCTAAATTATAATAATAAAATACTCGTCTCTTTTGATATTACTAATTTATATTCAAACGTACCCATCGATAAGACACTTGAGTTAACTTCAGATCTGTTTAAAAAACATTTTAATTATATTAACACCGAACATGTTAGTATCCTGTTAAAATATGAAGTTAAACAAAACTTTCAACAATGACTTTTTCATGTTTCTGAGGGACTCCCAATGGGAATGCCCCTATCGGGCCTTCTATCTGAAATATTTTTGGACTATATTGAGCACAATTATATAATTAATATTTCTAATCCGTTCAAAAATAAAATACACACTTAGATAAGCTACGTCGACGATGTGTTTTGTGTGTGGGACGCTAATTTGGCTTCACTGAACGATTTTCACGATGTTATAAATGATTTACATCCTAATTTAAATTTTACTTTACAAATTAAGAAAGAGTGTTCACTTAACTTCCTTGATCTTGAACTTACTAAAATTAATAATACTTTATCTTATAATATTATAGGAAACCTTCTATGGTCCCAACTACAATCCCTTTTGATTCTTTTCACCCAATGTCAAAAATTTGCGAATTTTCGTTATTTGATTAACCGTGCCATCAGTTATCCTTTATCAGAAAAACATAAAATTGATGAATTTAAATACATTCATACTCTTGCATTGAGTAACGGTTTTCCTTTAAATACTATAAATAGTTTACATTTCAGATTACTTCGAAGTAAAAACCCATTGTATGTTAGAGAGAATGATAATCATGTTTACAAACCCATTTCATATAATAAAATATCTTTGGTATCTAGAAACATTTTTGATAAATATAAAATTAAATTAGCTTTTTCTAACAATTTTTCTATTGTTAAACTTTTATCTAATTACCACCCTAAAAATGGGAATATACTTCGTAAAAATGGCGTTTACTCGGTTGGATGTTCTAACTGTAACGGTATTTATGTTGGACAAACTGGACGTCGTTTAGGAAACAGAATTATTGAACATAAAGAAAGAACTCAATCTAATTTATACAAACATCATATCGAGACGGGTTATAGCATAGATTATGAAAACATTTCATTACTTCATGAATGTTCTAAGGGTTATAAGCTTGATCTTCTGGAGCTTTTTGAAATTAATAAACACAGTCAAAACAAAAAATTTTCCATCTTAAACGATCAAGTTAGTAATAATTACAAGCCACTCTTTATGTATTTGGATGCAGATAATTGATTTTTGATTTTGGCATTTTGTTATTTGTTGTTTATTTTTCACGACTGGCGTGTTATTACATTTTTCTTCTTTTGCGACTTCTCTCTTTGGTTTTCGAGTTCTTTTTCTTTTTTTCCACTTCCAATAACGCCACTTGTTTTGTAGTATTTCTCGTGTGATTTACGTGTATTTTTACCTTCAATAGTTTATTATTTAATTATGGATGTTCCTGTTTCTCATGATTACCCTTATTGACAGTAAGTTATTATTTTTATTTTGTATGAAACGTATATTGCCCCCTTTTTATATTATTTTTATATTATTGCTTTTCAATTAATTTAAGTAATTGTGATTGTCGCTGATGATGGGAGTGTTTCCCGAAATCGATACAACTTTATATTAAATAAAAAAGTTTAAGCATGTTAAAGAAGTTTTTAACCATTTCCTCCATTTTACAAAATATATTTGCAACATGGATTTCAGTTTCAAAACAGGCATTCAAGTAACTGAAGATTTAGTCACTATTGAACTGATACCGCGTGTGTCTCCTTTTAGCTTTCAGTGCGATTATTCTAATTGTATTATTTTTTAGGTGCTTTCTTTAGTAAGTTTTATTGTTTTTTATTTATTTTTATAAAATATAATGTGTATATCTAATAATCAAGATTATGGATCGCTGGTTGCAACCCGGATGTTCTAAACGCAAAGTAAACGAAATTGAACGAACTGCAACTTATGAAATTATCGAAGACGAAACTTCTTCAAAACCGGTTAACAAAAAAGCAAGGAAGACTCGAAAATACGACAAAGAATACCTTAAATTGGGCTTCTCGTGGAGTGGTGATGAAAAGCAACCCATTCCACTTTGCGTAATTTGTTTTAAAAACCTTACCAATGAAAGTATGAAACCATCGAACTTAAAGCGACATTTTGACACAAAGCACTTTGAATACAAAGATAAACCAATCGAATTTTTTGAACATAAACTCAAAGATTTAAATCAATCTCAAAAAGTAATGAGAGGTTTAANTAGAGTTAATAATGGAGAGCTAGACTCGTTTCCCTCTCTTCATGAGTTTGTAATAAAATCATCTGATAAAATTGATACGGATGTTCTGAAATGTTTAACAGAGCATTTGGACGGATTACAAGAGGGCCTGAAAAATTATTTTCCGGATTTAACGACAAACCTCGAATGGATAAGACAACCGTTTAATATTGATTCATCTGCCATGCCAGATAATTTATCTAATGTGGAACAAGAACAGCTCTTGGAGTTATCTGCAAACGAATTTTTGAAAAATAAACATAAAGAGTGTTCTTTAGCATCTTTTTGGCTGCAAATGCAACAACTATATCCGAATTTAACAGAAAAAGTGTTAAAACATGTTTTGCCATTTTCTACATCATATCTATGTGAAGTTGCGTTTTCAGCATTAGTCGATATTAAGTCGAAAAAAAGAAACAGGATTTTGGATGTAGAGCCGCATCTTCGATTAAAATTAACGAATAGGGAACCTGATTATAATCATTTGGCATCATCTCAACATAAACAAATTCATCCATCCCACTGATGCTTTCGTTAATGTTATTATTATTACATTTATTTATTATACTTTATTATTATCCATTTTATTTTATTATTTTGTTTTTGTATTAAAAAGAACTAATATAATATTTATTTTTTGGTTGATGCTAAAAGAACATTTTTTTTAACGAGGGGTACTGGAAGTTTTGATAATTACAACAGGGGTACATATATGCTGAAAGTTTGGGAAACACTGCTATAGACTAATGACTTAAGTGCGCCGCTCTCACTCTGCATTTCATCTTTGTTTTGATGGCATGGACATTAAATTTGAAATTACATCCAACAGCATACCCAGATATTTAATTTAATATTTATTATTGGAGATCTTTCGTTGATTCGGTGAAACGGAACAAGTAACTGAGTTTTGCTTGAATTTAACTGTATTCTCCATGTTTGAAATCACATTCTAATTCGCTCGAACATATTTTACGTTTTGTTAATCATATCTGGCATGTTTTTGGCATGTGTTATTATGGCAGTGTCATCGGCATATTGGAGGATGTAGGATTCGTTGTTAAAATACATAGGCTAGGATCGATATGTATTTCATACATATATGTGGGTTCGTGCTCACTTTTATTCTAAATCTAGGGGTTATGTTTTTATTTATTCACCAAAACATCAGAATTGTAACTTAAGTTTTATTTAATAGTTTATCGAAATAAGAATATTAATTCATTTCACTATACTGGTCACCGTTTTGATCGGATCCAATCGGATCTACAATAGAAAAGAATTTTTACTGTCGCGTTTGAAATTTTCGCCTGTCGTTGATCTTACTGATCTGTTGCGTTACATTGCTTTTCGACTACTGACTTCCCGCCTAGGAAAGCCGACTTGTCCCACTCCCGAGAGCCTTCAAGGACAAATCCTACATCTCGGCCGTCTTGCAAAGCATTCGTCTCGAATGGACTGTCCAGACACCAGGGCTTCATGAAATCAGCGCTGCTGAACGTTTTTCGGTGATCCTCGTGGTTACCAACTTTTTCCACCTCGTAGCGATCAAGACCAGTTCCTCTAACTACTCTATACGGACCTAGAAATTTTGGCAACAACTTAGATTCATTTTGAATTGCGTGCGCTTTATGGCCACGAGATCGCCTATACGATAATTTCTGGCAAATTTTCTTTTTTTATTATAATTTCGTCGATTTTCTTGTTGGATTTTGATGATCTGCTTTTTAGCCTCTTTTCTCAAATTCTCTCGTTCCTCGTTGAATGAGAATCATTTTCATGAGCCTCTCGTATTATGTGCGGTTGCATATTAATTGGAATTACAAGGAGTCTTTGCCCATCCATATCTTTATATAAAATGTTCTTCGCCACCTCATAATTTTCATACTCGCCACTTTCCAAAATTTTCATAATTGTTCGTAGATGTTCGTCGTCCGATTGCGCCTTCGCCACCCTTTCCAAAAATCCGGATTCAATTATCATAGTTATTGGATTTCGACTTAGAGCATCGCAATGCTTCATTCTATGTCCTGGTCTATGCTCAATCGTATAATCAAATTCTTCCAACAAAAGCGCCCATCGTGCGACCCTTGTGCAAAGATCTTTCTTTTGCATTGTGGCTGCAAAAGCTGCACAATCTGTTAAGATTTTAAAATGGTTGCCCAATAAATAAACGCGAAATTTTTTCAACGCCTCTACTATGGCAAGAACCTCGAGCTCATAACTATATTTTTTCTGCGCGTCACTAGTTTTTCTACTCCCGTAATAGATTGGATATAATTTTCCGTCATTTGGATTCGTTTGCAATAATACGGCTCCAAAGCCATCTTTACTCGCATCTACGTGGAGTTCCGTTTCGTTGTCATAATTGAAAATTTTCAGTACTGGTTCGCTAGTTAATTTTTCTTTCAGCTGTTCAAATGCTCTTCATCTTTTTCAAATACAAACCTTTTGCCTTGTTTTAATAAATCCGTTAAAGGTTTCGCAATTAGTGAGTAATCAACGATATATTTTCTAAAGTATCCAGTAAGTCCCAGAAAACTTTGAACTTTCTTTACCGTTGTTGGTTTCAGAAAATTTATAACGGCCTTGATTTTGTGTTTCGCTGGCTTGACAAAGCCATTCTCTATTTCATGACCCAAATATTCCACAGAATCTTTAAGCTTCCTTCTCCGAGTGAAAGGGACTATTTCGATTTTATTGGGATTGATGCTGAGCCCATTGCTTCTACACCAAGTACTGGTGAGTAGTAGGGCTTTCTGCATTAGTTGAGTTATGATTGTATCATATTTACCTCGAATTGTGATTACCAGGTCATCAGCGTACCCTTGAATCTTAAATCCGTTTTTAGTGAGGGTGTTCATCAAGTCATCAACTATCAGGCACCATAATAGAGGTGATAGCACTCCCCCTTGGGGACATCCTTTTAGCGCCTTTATAGTCAGCGACACGCCTCCCAGACTGGCTGTGATTTGCCAGTCTGGGAGGCTACCATTTCATTGTCGACGGATGTATATCTTTTACGTTTACAGCCTTCTGTATGGATTCGTAGGAGGTGTTATCAAACGCACCCTCTATGTCTATGAAAGCACATAGGGCTATCTCTTTGGTTGCAATTTCCTCCTCTAAAGTACTAGTCAAAGCATGGAGAGCGGTAATTGTTGATTTTGCTTTCTGGTAAGCATGTTGGGTAGGGTGGAGTGGATTAGTGACAAGCACTCCATTTGTAAGGTATTGATCGATTACCTTTTCCATCCCTTTGAGGAGAAATGAAGTTAGGCTAATTGGTCTATACGCCTTGGGGTCCGCGTTTGAACGCCTACCACGTTTAGGTATGAAGACCACGTACTTAACTATGC